CTCTCTCTCTCTCCCTGTCTCTCTCACGCGCGCTCTCTCTTTCTTTCTTTCTCTCTCTCTCTATCTATCCATCTCGCTAGTGCTCTCCTGCGTTTTTTTCTCGTGCGCGCCCTCTTTCTCTCGCTCTCCCTCTGTGTCTTTCTCTCTCTTCCTATTTCTCCACCCACCACCCTTCTCTATCGCTCCCTATTGCTCCTTACTCCCTCCTTTCTGTCGATCTTCATCTACATTTTCCTCTCTATGCATACAATGCTCTCTTTGTCTGTCACCATAGAACTACTAACAAACTATTGTCATAATGCCCAGCGAAGCAGCCGTGGTTTCTCAGCACATAGTATACACAGTAAAACAGCGAGTAATCAGGACGATGGGGACACGACAAAGTGGCACTCGGGGTATATTTATGAAATACTTACAGTCATTCCGATACTGTAAGCGCGTGCTTACGCTACAGATAATACACGTATATCAAAGCAACACTGTTCGCCCCTCACAGCAGTAGCGTTACACCGATCTACACCCCATAGCAGTAACCAAGACATTTTTATATGAAATGGAATGTGCTATCACGGAATGTTAATAAAATGGATATCACTTTAGTGCAAAATTACGTAAGGCTTGCATGTAAATCATAGCACAGTGTCAGCGTCATCGACACCATATAACCCCATTCTAGGAACACGGTCTACATTATTTGTCGCCACCATCGGCTATGGTTCACCCGATATTAGGGATCTTCACCTCCGCAGACGTCCACGTATCCGCGTGTTACTGCTCTTTCACTTAGTTATTGCAAGGCTCTCTCGTGCTTTGATCTTCTTGACGAATTCGGTCGCGTCTTTATCCCAGGTTCTGAGTTCCAGCACTTGGAACGGTCCGCTCACTGAAAGAACGAAGGCTAAATTAAAACTGTTAATCGATCACAAAACATACCCTACATGCAACATCGAGCGATCAAATAAAGGGAACGTCAAAAGGAAAAGCGAGTAACTCACAAAATAAAAACGTAAAATAACAAATAAAATTATCAGTAGCAAAAATAAGGAGATACACACTACCTAGGCTCGGTTTTCGCTTTCGCTTAGGAATTATTTCTGTAAAAGAAATGACAAGGCAAGTTTTAAACGTAAAACACAAGAACAAATTAAATTACTTGCTGGGTGGCGCCAACAACCACGTGATAGAATTTTTAACGCATATATATATATATATATATATATATATATAGATATATATATATATATATATATGTGGAAGTGGTCATACAGATTGGTTATACTGTCAACCTTGTTACAAAATTACAACCAAGTTTACAGAATAGTGCTCGCGTACAGTAGTAACATCTACACGTACAAGAAATCATGTACCTTTTTACTGTAATACATACCAACGTAGCCGCTCTTGTATAAACAGCGGGGTTATACACAAAAACACTTTCTCCACTAAAAGCGCCGCAACCTTTATTACTAAAATGGTACTAAATATATTAAATAACTTTAATAATCCATCGAAAAAAAAATTGTTTTATATAATAATCATATCTGTATATAAAGGGAATCATATAACAAGTGATAGCCTATTGCAGAGTTCGTAGAGTTGGGCCATTACCAATATACTTTGTAACCTTCTCATGACGCTTGCCACCAGTTGTCCCCTTCTCGGTGGGAGCAGCACCCGCACTAGTTTGCCATTTTTGTAATATTTACAGTACGTTACACTGTGATTTTATTGAACAGCCGGGACAAGCTGTGGCTAACTTTTGTAGCCCACCCAGAATGATAACACTAGTGGACTCTGTTTCAGCATTAACTTGTTTGCCGTCGAAATCAACCGCACCCACAAACTCAGACGGCATTCAAAATTTAAACACAATTCAAGTTCTAAAATGTTAACCATTATTAAAGCACGCACTTATTCCTGCGCTCGATTTAATACATCTATCAAATCAGAAAACACAGCCTGTTCTGCTAGCATCTATGACAAAATTAATACGACATACGCATATACGCTCTCCTATGACACTATTTGTCATAGGAAGATCCTTCCTATGGCAAATATAATTGTATGCGTTGTGCGCATCATACGAGTTTAGGAGCGCTATTATAAACGCAAGCATCGAATTTCAGCTGTAAAGCGGAACGAAGTTGACTCGCCAATATTTGTCCTAGAAAGAATCTTCCTATGACAAAATTAAATATAGTGTCATAGGAGAGCGTATATGCGTATGTCGTATTTGTCATAGATGCAAGCAGGACATGTTGGAAAACAGCAGTATGTAAATCATGACTTCATTAGCAACAGTTAAGCAATCAGCAACATTAACAGCAACAATATTAATATCAAGCATAGCGTCTTTCAAAGAAGTTGCTATTGAAAACATGTTGGGTGAGCGCACTAAAAAGGTACTTATTTGCGTACTAATCCATGTGAATGCCGTCAATACCATAGTCATACAACACGTGCAAAAGAATATCATAACAACAAGATATTACGTGGCCGATTGACTGCCATTTCGATCAAATTTGTATGATGAACACACATTACAAACACTTTTCACAAGCTGTCATAAACTTTGAATGGAGACTAAATGAATTTTCATTTAACCGAGTACATCAAAAAGCAGACGCTCATCTCATATATATATATATATATATATATATATATATATAGTAGTAATAATAAGTAAAGTAAGTACGTAGTAGTACGAGTGTCTTCGTTCGTTACGTTCCGTAGTAGTAAATAAAATTAAGTTAACGTTGGTAC